AAGGGGGTGTTGAGCCGGGGGCCCATGAGGGTGTCAGTTTGAAAGTGGTGAGTAACCCTGCCCACTCAGAGGTACCCTATTAACCTGTGTGTGTGTGTGTGTGTGTGTGTGTGTGACTGTGTTTTATTGGTTGCGCTGAGCTTTGGCATATGAGGGGGTCAGCCTGTAAATGCTGACAGACCCAGCTGGCTCAGATGTACTCTATTGCTGTGCTGCGGTTGGGGCGCATGAGGGTATCAGTCTGGAAATGCTGAGTAACCTGGCCGGACTTGAATGTGCGCTGTTAACCTGCATGGGTGTATGTGTTCAATTGATACGGTAGCTGGAGGAACCCAGCCCCATTGAAACGAATCCCTGCAAGGTAGCTCCATTGGGGTGAGGACTTGCAGAAGGGAGAGATACGGCTCCACATAGAAACACAAGTGACACAAGCAGCACACTGATAGCATTACAGTAACACCACAAACGTAACTCTAAGACATGAGCGTACCACAAAGGGGTGGGCAAATCTGGTAACAAAGTCTTTTCCTCTTCCTGGACGTGGGCTCTGTGTCATCATGAATATTCCCACTGTACTGGGCCAAGAAGAAAAACTGGGCCCAGACAGGGGCTGTCATGAGCTTCTCAGGCTTGAGCATGATAGAGACACAGACTCTCCATTTGACGCTGGACCCTGCATTGTTTGGGAATCCCAGCATCCAAGTGATGGTGTCTGTGTCATTTGAATGGGTCTTTATGTCCTCCCAGCTCTTTAGGCCATTTTCTTGGTGAGAGACAGTCCATTGGAAAAGCAGCTGACTTAGCAAGGGTGCACACAACTGTGTATGGACAGCCTGATGGTGATTATGACTGCCCATGTGTTGCTCTTGAGGAGGTCTTGAAAGACAAAACAGACCAAGTTTAGATACCTACCGGGTCTGGACTATAGAGATGGCAACCCGTCATGGAAATAAGATGTGCATTATCAGTTCACTTGGCTTTATCACTTATTGGTGTAAAGCCTCAGAGACCTACACATACATCTTATTTATTTCTCCCTGGATTGGCATCAGGGTTTTCACATTTTCCTGGTTTCTCTGTATCCTGTGATTACAATACTGAAATTAATCTGAGAGTCTCAATCATTTAATCTTGATGAATCTTCACACCTAAGTTTAGCATGAGTACATAGCATGCAGGGATGGGTGAGGCTGAGCAGATGACTTCTGCTTCCCATGTTGTGGGAGTCCTATGTCTGACCCTAAGGAATCCCCTCACCACACATACATGAATCCCCCCTCTCATGTCATGCAATTGTGTCCAGACCCCATTTCTCTGCTCTGGGCAGCCTGTGGGAAGAGCCCTCCTCTCCCCCAAATCCAATCACTTGCTGGTAGGACAAGAACAACCCCCACCACAGAGGGATTTCATACACAGATGCCAGGCCTCTCCACCCCGTGCCCCCCGCTGACTCTGGGAATAGAGCCGATTGGCCGCTAGAGGGAAAAGACCCCAACATTTTAGCCACAGAATAGATTGTGTTTGCCAGTGTAGGCAAAGCACAATGTCACAAGCAAGGAGGCTAGGCTGGTGCTGGAGATGGTGTTAATGCCAGTCAGTACTCAGCCTCAGCCCCAACCAGATAAGGATCCTTGAAGCAAGCAGTAGAGTTAACCTTCCCAGGCTCACAAAACACCACAGGGAGCTGATGGGAGTGCTCATGGCTCACAAGCACCTACAGACCCATCTCCTCCCCTCCCCCTTCCCTCCCACCCTGCTCATTCCCTGATTAGTGTGCATCATGTAACAGGGGAGACAGAAGGTCAGGAGGGACCAAAGGAGCGATTAGCATTTTTTTGTTAACGGATAATCCACTCAGTGTCCTTTCCTCAGCGGCTACTGGTCTGTATGTCCTGGGTACAAACCACGGCTGTAGCTGAGGACTGACAGTGTCCCAGGAAGAGGAGGAGGAGGAGGCGAAGGACTCCCAAGGCCTCACTGACAGTCAGATCAGCATGCAGCTGCTGAGGGTCTGGCTTGGGGCAAGAGGAGGGAGGTTCAGCTGGGTGCCACTGGAAACCAGCAGAGCTTCACACCCTTACCCGGGAAACCCTGCAGGGGTGGCACATGAGGCCTTCTGCAGGCTCTCAGGGGGCAGCGGATCCAGGAGTCTGCTGTGTGACTGGCACCCCCTGTATTGAGTTCACTCTGACACAAAAGTGTCCATGGAGCGCTTTGTCATTGCCCAGTCAGAGGAGAGGCACTGGGAATCCCTCTGGACTTACCTGGCCAGCTAGACTTGCATGGTGAAAGCGACCTTCTTCTCTTTGGGATGGCACCATCACTCACTTGGCCCATCTAGTTGACAGTCTTCAGAAACGAGCATTTCCTCAAGCCCCCTCAAGCCCTTTGGGGACAGAGTGAGGAGGGCTTGGTGGCACAAAGTCACTCTCTGCAACCCACTGCTCCCCTTCTCTGCTCCCAAGGGAGACAGTGCACCCAGTTTGCACCCCAACACTCGCAGAGCACATTCTTTAGTTTGGTTGACAGCATGCACTGTCTGAACGTCTACACATTTTAATGACCACTTCTTGTGATTGACAAACAGGTGCACTCATTGTTCTCTGCTTTGGTTAGCCTTTCAAGTATGATGCTGCCCTAAAGTCCTGAAGCCCAGCACCTCTGGAAGAAGGTTTTTTTGCAATGCTCCCAGCATCAAAATGGAAGGAGTAAACATCCCGTCACTGCTACCTCATATATCCACCCCTCCCTATGCTCAGGAAACCCTAGGGTCACTAGGGGCACCTCTACACACTACGGGTTTTAATCCTCATTAAATTAAATATGTTAATAAAATTTGAACTTGTCTATTTTGGAGTGTCATGTCTGTGTTTGCACACTCTAGGCTTTCAAAAAATTAAGCTCCGGGGCATCGTATTAGTGTTCACATGCACAAGGTTTTCAAACTAATGAAGTCTGGTCTGTGACCAACACCACACAAAAGTGGTACAGTCCAGGGTTCCCCTCCCCCTCCCACCCCTCCCAACCTGGGGCATCCTTCCTCCTACCCCACCAAAGCAAAGGCAATTCAAAGGGGTGAGCTACAAATATTTGTAGCCATCTGGTGGACCAAGACACTCATTACACGTCTTCGGGTGCCTTTGTGTTTGCATGCAATGAACCCATGGATGTGATGCTTTAATTTCCAGAGAGTCAAACTAAACTACATCCAAGGAGTTCATGCACAAGAAAGACTTCTAAAGCATCTGGAAACTCCGCTCACACAAACAGACACACAGCTGCAGTGCATGAAAGGGCAAAAAACATGGTGTGTAAAAAGGCCCTTGGGTGCCAGGAAAGAACTGGCTACCTACTGGCTGATCAGCTTCCATGGATAGCATTTTTTGGCTCACCAGGGCACAGGGGAGGGCACCATGGATACACTTGATGTGTTCTGCCCAACATGGCTGTTTCAGCGTGCTAGGGGAACAACATTTGCAAGACTGAGGGCCAGACCTGTCTGGTGCCTCTCACATGGTGGTCCAAAATCTCAGAAAAGACTGAGTCCTTAAAACAACCACCATAAGTGCATTATAAATAATCAGGATAACAACTGGCACAACACTGGAACTGGGATAGGATTCGGACCAGGGTAGCTACTAACAAATTTCCAACGTGGAGCTTAGACTGATTTTGCTACATACTGGGAATTCAATTAACAGCCACACAATAAAGCAAAAGCACAGGGAAAGGGTTTTAAATAGGCAAGTAGCCAAAGATTTATAAAACTGGCAAACAGGAGGATGTAAACATTTCTACCTGTGATTGGCTCATAAATTCCAAAGGTGACGTCAGGGGAGGAAAATGAGTAACAGTAAGAAAAGTAACAGTTTAAACCCAACTTAGGATACCTCTCCTGAGTTTTGACAGTTCATCTACTCCTGCCCAATTCAGGAGCTGGAAAAGGCATTTGAAATGAACCCCTCAACTCCTACCTCTACAGCGCCCCCCTGCACCCCAAATCCTTCAAATGTCCATTGTTGGGGCTGGCAGACACGTGTTGCCCCACGAGGTGATAGGTTTGAAAGAGGGTCACTGCTTGGCTTCTGAGATAGAGAGGCTGGCTGAGGATTGTCCTGCACTGGAGGAGTCTGCTGATGCTAGACAGGGAAGGAAAGGATGTGGGATCAGTTTCCCTCCCCAGAACATCCCACTCGGATTGGGGCACCCGGGGCATCCCTCAGAGGCTGCCCTAGGGGATCCCAATTACCACCCACTCTGGTCTTCCCTTCAGTAGACACAGGGGCAACTCCCCCAGACAGGTACTTTGAAAGCTGGATTGCAGCCAGCACCCCACTCGGGGGAAAGGCCCCATGCCCCACTCTGCAATGCCCCAAGCCACCCACACCCCCCAAGTTCAGGCTTGGTGTGGAGCCAACGTACCCTAGAGATGGGAATGGCTCCATGTCCCAGGCTGAGGCAGCCTCTGCCCCTAGTCTGGGAGCTGACCTGAAGACAGTGCCCCACCCTGACAACTTCCACATCCCAGGCCCAGCTTTCAGTGCTGGCCATGGAGGCACATTACCTGGCTGATTGCAGGGTGGGCGATACTGCCTGTCCTTGTACTCTGTGGGTAAAACACAAGACGTCACTCAGCAGGATAGCAAGTGCTGGACAAGGAAGGGTGAACAGGGATGGGGATATGATGGGAGACCACAGCCGTGGAGCTGAGGGGATTTGGGGACAGCAAAGTTGCTCTCCTCTCATCTCCATGGCAGTCCCCAATGCAGCGAGTTGGGAATGCTGTGCTACATGGAAAGCATTGCTTACCTTTCCTCCTCCGATAAAACCACAGGGCTCCCGCTCCAAAGACAAGGAGGATGCCGACTGCAGCAGCCAATATGATGTAGGTATTTCCTGCAAC